AATAATAATAATAATAATAATAACAATAATAATAATAATAATAATAATAATAATAATAATAATAATAATAATAATAATAATAATAACAGATCCTTCTCAATTGCATCTTATGGTAAATTTACAATTCCAGTATACAGTGAATTTGTAAACCTTTTCTGCAGCATCATCCACTATAAACCAGAAACCCCTACAAATGATCTGCTGGAATTTCTGTGAACGATTTTCAAAGAATTTGCTTTATTACAAAATGGTGCAATGGAATACAGAGGTTTAAACCTGTATTTTTGCTTGCACTGAAAATTTGGTAAAAAACATTTTATAGTCGCTTATGACCCACATCTGTTTAGACAGTACCTCACATTTTGTATGTGAATCAGTTATTTGTGATTATAGGTACACTGAAAGTCATTTGGATTTTTGCAGGTTAGAATAACTGCTTTTTGAAATTTCACATGATCTCATCGTAGTAGGCACTAGTTTGCGCTTGAGTTTTGTATTGCTATATTTGCTCTTTTTTTGAGGTCTGCGTTGAGCAGGTGGCCTTACCTTTGAGTGGAGCATCTATCTTATGCTCCTCAGTTCTACATCTGTTGCTTTTTCATTCCCAGTTCCATTTCTGAGATGTGCAAGCAACTCATTCTGTACAATAAAACCTTGTGAGTTTTTTAATTAGTTTCTATTGGGTCTATTGGGTCATGCTATGAGTTTTCCTTTTACTTAATGGGGTTTATTTTTTTTTAACATTATGTAAAAAATCTGTAACTTCATAGCTTTCTGTAGAATTTGTTACTAGTGTTGGTTATCTACAGGAAAATATTTTCACCAATAGATGATGGGGCGGCATTTTTATCAAGTAACATTAAAATGTGTGCAGTAGAGGGATACATTAATACCATGTGAAGCGATATGAACACTTAAAAGCATTCATTCACATCTAACCTTGCTGTCAATTTAGAGTAATTAGTTAATCTATCAAGCATGTCTTCGGACTCGAGTAGGAAACTCCGCCCACAACAGCTGGCCAACACCTTTGAATGAAGAGCAAGTACATATTTTTCAATATAGTGTGAAGCTGTCTATAAATTTACTGTACTGCTTTGATGAGACAAGTATCTTCAGTCTGAATGGAATAATTCACAATTCGGTCAAGTGAGACTCTGGTTTTGGACCAAACGAGACAACAACTGCGTATGCTTATAGGGGCTGAAAATGTCACACACAGAAAAAGTTGCATTCATTTTATCCATTAAAAACAGTCAGACCATAAAGTAAATGAAAAACTATTTCTTCCTTGCAGTACTCACTTGCACAGTCTGAGCTCATCCAGGTAGTGAAACAGAGAAGAGCGGCTACAATCAAACTTGACTGCATCTTCAGTACTCTACTTTAGGCTTGTTCTTCAGAAGTCAAGCTTCAATTCTGTGAATGCAAATGGTCTGCACAGCCTAAAATTTAACAGAAAAGATAGCAACTGTTCTGTTCACCGCATGCCAACCCATAATACGACATATAGAGCTCAGAGGTAAAACCACATGTGCATGATCATAACTACTTGTACATATACTGCACATAGACACAGAGATACTTATCACTAAAGCTAGAAGTTGATGCAAGCCACAAACTTTAACAGATTTCATTAGAACTGTAGGGTAATTTCCAATAAACCAAGTTCAAAAAGGGAGTCTATGGCTGACGCGTGTTCCTGGTTTCCAAAAGAAATGCTTCCAGTTGCATTATGATTTGAAGACTGTTTATTTATTACAAACTGAAGATTTAACAATGAACTCCTTCCTAAATAAGCATGAAAGTTCCAAAAAATAGCAGTTATCCAGAACTACCTGTGCACACGGTCAGAAAACCGTGAGAGTCCTAACCTTTGTCCATGCTCCTCCCCTTCCCTCTCACACAGGGTTTCATGCTACTATTGCACTTACATACTTAAAGTGAGAGGTACCCCCTTTTAGGTTCCAATCCCAAAACAGTGACTTAAAATTACTTTATGTAAACACATATATTTTCACATTTATTAATCCTGAAAAGATGACTTATGTGATGAATCTATGAATTATAAAACAAACATGAACTCAATCGTAAAAAAAAATATAAAGCAGACGTCTGGCGCTTACAAGAACTGTACACTTTTCTCACAGTCAGTTAGTGAATTAATATCAGTGACTGACTGAATTTGAATAGGTTATCAACAACACAACTACACTTTGGCTAATGGCCTTGCATTAGCAACCCCCCAACAGAAGGTTGAAATTTTTTTGGCTATTGGAATATTGGAAACCACGTCAAAACTTACAGTTACATCAGAATTATTTCCAGCATGAACACAAAAACAAAAGCATTTGAATCACTTTATGGGTGCCGTGTATGTTCCTGCCACTTTCACACTAAGTCAAAACACAAAGAGGGTTGCAGCTATTGATGAAAGACATTGTAGGCCATTTTATTTTAAACTAGAATAACTAAGAAGAAAGGATAAATGCTTAATCGGGGAGATGGAAGCAAGTGGTATGGAAAAGAGTAGGCACCTGAAATGTGTGCAGCAGGATATTTAGAGATTTAAAGCAGCATTTCAGCCACAGAGACTTACAGTATAATCAACTCGGTTTAAAACTCAAACTAACAAAAAACAGGAAGAGGGAAGGAAATTAAAAGGAAAAAAAGTGGATATAGTAAAAAAAAAAAAAGGTTTGGACAGTGGATGTAGTCCACTAAAACAAGTGCTATGTTTTTTAAAAGAGATTCTCCTATTGAAACTGGTATGAAAAGAAAAAAAGACAACAAAAAAGTAAAACTTTCACTGTATACCCTGATGCATCTCAGGAAGGACAACATTATTACTTAGCTCCACAATTATAGCAAAAATAAACACCTGATTGGCTCTCCAGCTGCTGTCAGCTGGCTTCATGCCCTTGATGACTTCACTCAACAACAGCAAATCCCAAGGCACGCAAATGTCTGACATCCCAAACATCTCGCCATTAAAATCAGTGAAGACTTGGCTGGTGCAAGCATTCATGGAGCACAAACATCTTACAAATACACATACTGAAGCGCACAGGCACACATGCAAACAAACGCAACCTGGCTGCTGATGCACACTAATACACGTACACATTTCCCCACAGCCAATATCCCAGACTCATCATTATCGTCCCCGTAGCAACCTGTTTGTCAGAGGAGAAATGCCTCGCTGGATTATTCACTCCTCTCTTATTCATTAGCTGTTGTCCTGGGCAGCAGCCAAGGCTGTTGGTTGGCCGACAGCGTAGCTGATAGGAATTAGTCTCCTGATAAAGCAAGAGAGTGGAACGTAGCGTTGCAGGAAATTGCAATCAATACCAACTCTCATATCCTCATCCAATATCGACTACAAATGGGAATGAGAAGCACACTGTCATGCTCCTATACGTGGACATGAGGGCCTACTTAAGAACGTATTCACACGTGAAGCACAGTGAAGCTGCATTAATTGCAGTGGTTGTTTCAGAAACCATACAAATAAAAGACGAAGGAAGCCAAAAACCCGTGCCTCAAACCGCTGCTTTCTCATCGTACTGTGTAGACCTAATTCACACCTCGTCATGAGTCATGTACGGTCGTGCCCTCTTTGTACTTTTCTGTGCCAGCTTCTTAAAGTGTGTGTGGGATCAGACCGGGGTGAAAAATAGAGTTTTCCCACATGACACAGATCAGTGGTTAGAGCACAGTTCAGAGCACCTACAGGCAAAGACACAGTTTGAGTGGCATAATGGAAATGACACCAGTAATTAAAGAAGTGTCTCATCAGATGCGTGTTTTTGGCTGTGTCCCCTCTCTTTGTTTGATGAAGAATTGACTCCAGATAGATCAAGGTTTAATTTTAATCTCCCCCACCTAACACTGAGGGCTTATATTAATCAGTTTGGGAAAGATTTTAATTTTTGCGGCATTATTGTGATCAAACAGACATCTTTCCATTTATCTCAAGCACAAATAAGAAGATACTGCCGGGGAACTCCTATAAAGGCCACAAATGTGGTAACAAAGAACTATAGGTCTGGGTTTGGAGCCTAAAAGATGATGTTGTCTGGGGACGGACGGTTGTAAAGAGCAGTGTACTTCAAGTCAGTGTTGGGAAGAGCAAAGATGTTTTTGATATGTAACAGTGGAGCCATACGCACCGATCAATACGCCGACCTTTCTCAGACTGATTGCACGATGCTCTGCTTTGGCCCCAACACCAGCGCCCACCAGAGGTCCATCAACCATCAACCATTGTTATTGTCTGGTCCAGATATAGGTAAGATCAGTTCTCCTGTTGACTTTTACCTTGGGACTCGCAGTACTCTATATGTTCTTATGCTCTTTTCATTTTTCTCCCCCTCTGTCTTCTTCTTAAACACACACACATACACACGTGCAAAAAACAGAAACTATTTGACAAAACTTATTAAAAAGGAAAGAAATGTCTGAATTAAAACTAGCGACAGATTGATCCTCAGCAAATGAGGGTCTCTGACCTCTTCCCCGGGGCCTTTATACATGGATATTGTATATTTCTGTTCAGTGCCGAGGGACGAACAGAAATCCCACTTGGAATTGAGAAATGTCATTTACTTTCCAATTAATGCTCCAATTAACAAAGCAATTCACAATTCATTTCCTGAAACCGGTGAGGTTGAAATGAGACTGACCCCATGCCCAGTATCAATCTCCTTGCTATTGACCCGTTCACATAAAGCTTCAATTGTGGATCAACCGTCCATTTAGAGAAAGCATCAATAATCGACTTAAACTGGGGGCTATATTACCATAGACATTAGCATAGACATTGCCCCTGTGGCTCTGGGGTGATTTGAATGTCTGTGAGAGTGACCGACCCGCCCTGTGCCTCTGGCTCACGGTTCAGGGGACGCAGGAGCGCAAAGTCTAATCAATAAGCGCTTTAATTATAGGAGCCCTCGGCTCGCAGTTCTTCACGGTTGGGAGACGCGCAATGCCACAACTGATCCAGCATGATCATTTCAGATGGAGTGGGGTTTCTTCGCCTGAGTAACCTGTCTCTTTTGGCCTGTGCTATTATAGACAGCAAATTGTCCACTCCTCTTCATAGATTTGGTAAAATGGGCCCATTAGTCCAGAGGGGGAGGTGTGCTTTTTTCCCCAGTGTTTTGTGGTGTTAATCAGGACTTGGTGAATACTGTGTTCCAAGTCTAAGAATATTTATTTCTTTGTTGATGTAATTGTGAAGTAATATATGAACATCCAGAGAGGACAACATCAGCATTTGCATTTATTCTTCCTTTCATTTTGTGTATCTTCCAGGAGATCCCAGTGTGAAGCTGTGGAAAATAAAAATAATGTGGCATTTAAATCATCTTGGCTGTTTCCCAAGATGAGAAAAACCCAACATTAGACCAGATAACACACATTTTTATTAAATTTGAGGTACACAATTAAAATAGTGTGGGACTTTTGGAAGTTACAAAAGATTTAAAATATATTTGCACCCTAAATTCTTCACATCCTACCTTGTTGTCATCTCCACAGGATAAATAATTGTCTTTGCAGTACTCCATCTAATTTTCAGCTTTTCCCAACTATGAGTAAATAAAACGTGCTATGAGCCATCATCGACACAACTTTTCTTCTCAGCTGCAACTGAACTTAAATGAGTCAGCACAGATCTTACTCTACAGTCATCTTCTTCTTACTCCAGTAAAGCGTCACTTCTTCTCCATAGATGACACACACTGATGTACTGCTCTAATGCGTGATCTGCTTTTCGACTTGTGAGCTTTCATACTGGTGCACTAGATGGCGTGCTTTCTCTTCAGTGAGTAAATGAAAGCTGGCACTTGACAGGCTCTGAGAGAGTCATCCAAATTTAGCCCAATAGACCAGAGTGGCAAAAAATACAGCCGCTGCAACCCCTAGGCTATAGCTGACATTATTCTCCTCTTCAGTATAGCGTGAGGCCAAAAAATGTCAGCGGGCCCAGAATAATTTAGACTTCCCGTTCTAAACATCACAAATAAAGTCGAGCGGTTTGTTGTGCTTAAAAAAGTGATGCAGCGCGCAGACAGCTGATAAATCGACTGATTGATTTTTTTTGTATCTGGTCGTCAGACATTTGTCTCCCTTTGGCAGTGGCATTTCAGATGAGGTTGTGTCTGAGAAACATTATTAGAGGCAGATCAAAGAGCACAAGTCGCTTTTAGACCACCAAAGCTCATTCATAACTCACTGCATCAAGATCTCCCCCGTCTCTACATCCTCTCTTTATTTGTCTGCTTTGATCATACAGTCCATTCAGTCCATATCACCCTCTTGCTTCTTCTGAAGTCTGTTAGGGAACATGCGTTAGATATCTGTCTGTC